CCTTCAAATTTGATAAGAAAACGGCGGCAGAATTCGGCTGCTCCTCCGTCTTTTGTCTTTAATTTGATCAGCAAACCACAGCCGTGGACGACGACAGAACATGTAATATTAGGTAATGTGATATTGATATTTATATATATTTATAAAGCTATCGAAATAAAGATGAATTGAATTGAATCACAAGTAATGTGAGTGACACCTTTAACTGGAAGGTGGGGAATCAGCCTATAGTTTCTGCTGACTGGAATGAACACAGCTACTGAACACACTGTCAGCAGCACTAGAGGGATGAGGATATTTACAGTAAATACACAAGGAGATGCTTCTTTGCTACAGGCCTCATAATACATGAAGACGCATGAAAAGTGTCTATATTTCACTCCAGGACTGGCGAATCCTCCATCTGAGAGGGCCTGGTCCAGCAGAGCAGCAGCACAGAAATAAACCGCAATGCAGAACTCCTGACTGCTCCCTCTCACTCAACACACACACACACACACACACACACACACACTCTCTCACACACACACACACACACACACACACACACACACACACACACACACACACACACACACTCAAGGGTCAGCTCCGCATCTGATAACAGCCATTGTTTGTTGTCAGCCAGCATCACCTCCAGAATAGACCTGTCCGACAGCTGCATCCGTCAGCCAGAGGGTCTCCAGGGACCGGGGTCGAGTCAGCAGGGGCCGATACGCATACACACAGACTACAATCCTCTAGTGGATCCACCACCCAAACAACTGAACCCCGGGCCAAACAGAGCTCCTGCAGACTGCCCTAGATTTCAACAAAGATGAGGGAAACCGCAGCAGCAGCTTGAGCTAAACACTCACATTCACCCGTGTGTTAGGATTAGCAGATTGTCAAACACGGCGTCATTAAACACAGAGATTTACAAGTGTCAGTGTCTCCAAACGCTCTGAGGCCATTAGATAGTGATGCTCAGACTGCATGTGCTATTACTACACCCTCACAGCGTGCATTTAACCAGGAGAACACAGCAGCAACACTGAAATCCTGCAGGACTCCAGCAGAGAACACGCTCCAGTCATCTGATGCAGAAATCACCCCAACAGAAAGGCTGATCTCAGGAACAGTGAGGCTCTTCTGCTGCTGACCTCAGAGAAATAAAGGACAAAGAGGACACCTGATATAGTACATGTGTCCAGCGTTATTAGTTTGATCAGTCGAGGAGACTCAAACTTCTGTCCACTGCTATTCGGCCTGAATTCATCCATTTCCCACAGTTCCCATCAGCCGAGGCCACTTCAGAGGAGCACACAGACTAATCTGTCAGATCTGTGCTAATGGCCAACCGCTGCTCCTCAATCATGGGGGACTGGAGCCGGACGGCAGCAGCTGTCCCGTTTCCACACAAAGACAAATAGAGGCGTCCCTTCAGCATACAGCAGACCAGGCTGAACCGCAGGATAAACTGGGTTAGCGGCGCTCGCAGGTGCACATGCAGCCGACGGGTCACCATTAGAGGGTCACCAGCACACATGGCCTGACAGAGCCCTACATCATGAGCCCAGCGTCCCCTTCAGCAGCCCCCACGACCGGGAGGGTTTGCAGGACTTCACTTTATTTTACTCAAAATCATACAAACACCCCATAAAACACTCACAGCACATCCCACGACAACATGTAGTGTAGTGTAACGTGTGTTTATGTAGCGTAGTGTAACGTGTGTTTATGTAGCGTAGTGTAACGTGTGTTTATGTAGCGCAGTTATCGTTTACAGCCATACACTCAAAGTGCTTCACAATCAGGGGGGGGGGGGTTCTCTGCACACCATCACCAGTGTTCAGCTCCACCTGATGATGCTCCAGCAGCCACAGGACAGCAGCACCAGTGCTTCACCACACACCAGCTATAGGTGATAGAGACGGTTCAGTGGATGGGGATGATTGGGAGGCCATGATGGGTAAGGGCTGATGGAGGAAGTTTGGACACCGGGTTGCACCCCTACTCTTTACCAGAAAAGTCATGGGGTTATTAGTGATGTAATACTGCTCAATACTGATGCACCTTTGGCACCAGGTGTTCCTCAGTCTGATGCTGCACAGGTGGGCTCTGCTGCTATTGGTCAGTTTCTGCTCTTCTCCTCACCATCTCATGAGTCTGACTGGCGAGTATCGGTCAGGCCAAGAACAGGAATATCAACTATTTTACAATCCGGCTAGCAGGATTTACATTATATTGATCAATTATTTAAATTATCCATCATGGAAAGCCTAGCTGTGAAATAATCGCAAAACGAGTGCATTACAAATACGATGAACAATCATGCTGTGGTTTGCACATCCTCTTGAATAGGAGACTCAATGTTCCTTATATTATTGAAAAACACACAAGAGTTCTGGGTTACACATCAGCACTGTCATGAGGCTGAAGTTCTACTGTCCATTCTTAAGGACTGCTAACAGTAACTGGAGCACAAGTGAGATCTACAGTCATGCAGTGTGCAGTGCCCGGTCAGTGCAGGAAACACACTCATTTGGAACAGATCTCTTTATTCTCTGTGTTAGAATAAATGAACATCGACTCTGGCTCTAAACTGAACAGTTTTCACTCTTTTAGGCTCAAGAGGTCAAATTGTGGAAGATGCAGAAAGGTCAGGTGAAGCCTGGAGCTCAGACCGTCTTCAGCTTCACGCTTCCACAGCGACCGCAGCCCACGGCCAGATGCATTATTCATGAAGAGTAAATCTAACAGCAACACGACGAGAGCCGCGACCAGCAGACACATGTACTGTGCGTGACAACTGGAAGAAGAAGACCAACCTGAGAACATTTCAGCGCTAACAGTCATGTGGAGTGTTCAAGGTCAACTCAGTGTTTCCAGCAGAAATCAGCGCAGAGACTCCAGCGCAGGGGGAACCGGTCCCGAACACACACAGCATCAGTGTCTTTACTTCATCCAGCCAGAAACTACAGGAGCACATGTCTGTAAAGGAGGATCTACAGCTCTGGAGTAAACACCCTAACCCTAACCCAGACGTGTAATCCTGAAGAGAACGGTGCTGGAAATAACCCTAACAGCAGCACTGAAGCAGACATGGCTCACAGGAATCCTCTACAGTGTTTGCAGAAGAATGAACCGGCTCAGCAGACGCCTTCAGGCTCCTCGATAACTGGAGGAGAATCTGCAGAGTTAATCTGACCTTCGCTTTACAGAAACAGAATCACTCCAGCTGCTTCAGGCTCCAGTAAACAAACTTCCAGCAATCCCACAATCCACTGCACACCGCAGGAAACAGCAGATTACTCCTGCAGCAGAGGAGGAACGTCTGAAAACACCACAGTAAAGCTGCGGAGAACAGCAGCACTAACACAAGCCTAACGACAGCACAAACATTACAGCCGACCAGTGCGCTTCTGACTGAAGCAGACGTCTGCGGAGAGAAAATAACCTACACTATAAAAAATGAGGGAATATAGAAGTATTGGCTGTTTCTCCATTCCTATGAGCACAGAGAAGCGGCTGCTGTTCTTGTGGAGAGTCAACTTGCAAAATTACATAGCCCAGAATAACACAGCCCAGAACACTCCTGTGAGGAATGAGATGCTCCGCTCTTACTGATGGTCACATGATCACACAAACATTTACTGTCTTCACTCATATACACACAATATAGAGATCAAACCGGTTATACAGAAGTTCAGCAAACTCACACTCCTGTTGATGATCTCATGTGATGTGTACTTCCACCGTCTCAGTCAAACTCCTGAGATGAAGATGGATGTCTGACCGTAGTGATGAGCAGGTGTAGACTGCTGCGCTGCACCTCCTTTATTCAGCTGCAATGACTTCTGGGACTATTAGAGCGAGTTCTGCATCGAAGCATCCTCGATATCAGGAATGCAACAGGGATCTGTCACGGGTCCTCTGTTCTTATGGTGTTGAGTATTGGTGTTTGATGATGATGTCACACGAGATCGATGAAGAACACGTGTGGAGAAAAGGCCAGATCTGTGCACATGTGTGTGTGTGTGTCTGTCTTTATTCAACACCGTTTCCTAGCAGACACACTACTGAACCACTTCAGCAACACAACAGGAGTGTTTACACTAGAGCTGACAATCACAGACCTCAGCCAATCAAGAGAGCAGTGGGCGGAGTCTCTCTCTCTCTCCCACACACACACACACACACACACTGCTGACTCACTCTCTCGATGAAATGAGGCGTCAGTCGACAGTAAACAGTGAATCATCTACACACACACACACACACATACACACATACACACACAGCTCAGTATGTCTGCGTCACTGTGTATCAGAGCTGTGAGACTCAGGTAAGAGCCTGAATGAGGGAGGAGGCGTCCAGAAACACAGGCAGCCTTCTGTCTGCTCAGTCTTCACACACCAGCCCTAACACACACACACACGCTCACGAACATGAGACAGCTGCAGTCTGAGCTGATCACAGAACAGCGTTAATTTTACCACAGACCCCAGATCAGCGCGCCGCCCTCAACATAACATACTACATCATGACACTATCAGAGTCCTGCAGACGGGAGGGTAAACCCGGAGTGTTGGAGGACAGCAGGAGAGCCAGTGTGTGTGTGTGAGAGAGAGAGTTAGTTTGTGAGTGAGTGGGTGAGTGTGTGTGTTTGTGTGAGTGAGTGAGTGAGTGACTGAGTGACTGAGTGAGTGAGTGAGTGAGTGACTGAGTGAGTGAGTGTTTGAGCGGCTCATCTTACCCTGTGTTGATGGAAATGATCTCAATCAGAGGATTTTTCCGAATCTTTGGCAAATCTAGTCGCGCTCCGCCCAGACGCTTGCCCTTCTCCTTCTTCTGACCCAGCAAACGTACAGAGTGACCTTCAACACACACACACACACACACACACACATTGTAAATCCTATATAAATGTGTAATTTATTAAAATATTAGGATTCAGGACCGCTGGTTGAGTAGTGCTTCCGGCTAATAATCTCTGACTGAAGTTCAGCATTAAAGCAGCAGATGGGTCTACTTCCTGAAGGGGCACATAAGACTTGTGTCACCATGTCGGCTTACAGTAGATCATATCTCAATCTGCACAGCAGGAATTGTGGAACAGCCAAACAATACAGCATGTGTGTGTGTGTGTGTGTGTGTGTGTGTGTAAGACTGACCTTTAATGGCCTCGTCCACAACCTCCACCACTCTGTCAATCTGCTGCACCTGCAGAGAAGCACATCACGTTAGATCTTCTAAGATGTTGGACATATGCATGAAGACAGCAGTGACTTCATATGAGAGTGTGTTGCTGGAACAGGGTGTGTGTATCAGGAACGGCTGGGTCAGGATGATAAACTCCAATAAATAAAGAGAGCAGTGATTTCCAGATGAACTGTTACGTGTGTTTGATCAGACGATATGAACACATAATATCTGCTGCTCATCTTCAGCTCATGTGTGAATCTCCATCCTCTGCTGTCAGTCAGAGCTCAACACACTCCTGAACAGAGTCAGCAGCAGAGCAGGGCAGTGATCAGGTGATCTGCTGAATGCTGATGTGAGTGAGATGAGCAACATTAATGTGCTTTCAGTGGCAATAACAGAAGAAAAGATCCAGCCGTGCAGCACGTGAACACCGAGCTCAGTCTTCATCACAGAGACTGGGTCAAATCATTTATTCTGCTGCACGACCCATCATCATCATCATCATCTATTAAACTATTTCATACGCTTCCAACATCAGGAGGTAATGAAGAAGCCCTGTAATGAAGAGACAGTCAGAGAGATGTCTATACAGGAGATGAGGACAGTGAAGCTCTATATCAGACGGATGGACATGAACCCTGACAGAAGCAGAGAGAGAGATGGAGATGGAGGATGGAGATGGAGGATGGAGATGGAGGATGGAGATGGAGGTGATGTCTGTAATCTCTCCCTCCTGCGCTCGGCTCATTTCTGCATGCAGAGCTGGAGACTGCAGGAGCTGATCTGCGGCATTGAAGGGACTCTGCATCCACCGAGCGATGAACCCTGCAGGTAAATATCCCAGCCCAAGCCGTTCTGCCTCCACCGGGGCCTTCTATCAGCCGAGGGACGCACAGGCCCGCTCCAGGCCTGAAAACAGCCCAGAAATCAATGGAGGCCCGCAGGAGCTGGATCTCAGCAGGCGTCCGGCAGTGAGATCCACTGTGAACAGCAGGAACGCTCTGGAGGGAAACGCTCCAGCACTCCTCAAAGAGGCAGAAGAAGGCTGATGTATTGTGGACTCTTTCATGTGTGCCGGAGGTGTTTTACAGCGGCAGGAGGTCTACATCACTGCCGGCTCCAGAAACTCTCACACTTTACTAACAGCCCGGAGAGAAGAACTTCAGAATGAGCTTCAGCATCCCCACAGCTTCTGCTTCAGAAGACACGAGCTGAACACAGAGGGACGGCAGACAAACAGAGAAACGCTGAGGTCAGTCCATCAAACACTTCCACACCTCCAGATGAAGGCTGCGTCCACACAGACAGAGGGAGGCCTGTGCTGGAGCTTCTGCTGTGTGATGTTGGGCACTGCTGTCCCTGAGCTCCTGCAGGGTCCTGGAGATCTGCTCCTCCTGATGGTGTGGTGTTGCTCCACAGTTTCTCCTCGCCGTCTGCATCTGCTGTAGAACCGCTGACAGAGCTCCAGCACACCACACCGCTGTGTCTACAGTAAGCGTGAGCTCAGGGGCCTGATCGGGCTTCCTCTGGGACAGTGTCTGGGCTCTTTCAGACTGCTGAACCCCTCGAGCTGAAGCAACTTGCCTGAGTCAGGTAGAGAGGGTCTGCGGCGCTCCTCTATTTCTGTAGTTGTGCAGTAATGAGAGCTCGGGCCGGGTCAGCTGAAGACACCGCGCTCTCCTGAGTGTGAGGAGAATGGACTGATGAGAGCAGACACTGCAGCGGGACACACAGCGGAGGTCCAGAACACACAGCGGAGGTCCAGAACACACAGCGGAGGTCCAGAGACATGCACATGTCAAGCAGACTCTTGTGTGTGTGAAGCAGACTCTTGTGTGTGTGAAGCAGACTCTTGTGTGTGTAAAGCAGACTCTGGCGTGTGTGAAGCAGACTCTTGTGTGTGTGAAGCAGACTCTTGTGTGTGTGAAGCAGACTCTGGCGTGTGTAAAGCAGACTCTGCTAGAGAGCCGTTATGAACACACACATGCAGTCAGACTGAGCCCTGCGCTACTGACCGGTCTCCTCCATCTTCATGAGTCGGCTGGTGATCCCACACACTGACCAGCAGCTCATCATCAATAACGTCATTACATCCAATAAACACTGGAGTAGGCCTGAGCATTACAGCGCTAACACACAGAGCTGTAGTCTGAAGGAGAATAACACTGATTATTCCTGCACACACGCACACACACACACACACATGGACACACACACACACACACGCACACGCACGCACGCACGCACACACACACGCACATCCTGCTCACATCCTGAGACAAGCAACGGCTTCAGCACAGTATGCAAATAACTGCTCATTTGCATAAGGTGAGCCTTCCAACGGTAAGGAGGTGCTGTCGCCTCCAAACCAGTATAACCCACACATGCAGCTCCGACTGACCCTGACCCAGCAGAACTGATGCAAATGAGCAAAGAAACACACACACACACACACACACACACACACACACACACACAGCTGAAACGCATGCAAAGGAACACACTTCAGCAGGTTAGAACAAGCCAGATCCTGTCTATGTGTGTGTGTGTGTGTGTGTGTGTGTGTGTGTGTGTGTGTGTGTGTGTGTGTGTGAGAGAGAGAGACTGCAGCTCTGTCTACACTACTATGCTGTCGGTTCTGCTGTGGTCTGGTCTTCCCTCCACTCTGCCCACAGTTTGAGCCCTTAAGAGTGCATGTGGGAGGCGGAGACATCCGAACAGAGGCGGGGCTGCAGACATCCTCTTCTCTGATTGGGCTTTCTCAATATTAAGAGCACACAGCTCAGTCCTGCACCCTCTCCTTCAGTTCACACTACACTAGTTCATGAACAGCAGCGGACACGGCGGTACATCTACAGATGTGCTGTGATCACCTCCTCCACACCTCCTTGCACCCTGAACAGTGCAAATCAGCACGATCTCTTGTCATGTTGTTATTAATAAGCACACTAATAGACTGAAAAGAGTCATCAGATACACATAAGCTGAATTACAGATCATGAATAATGACTATAGAGAGAGCAGACCAGCGGCAGGTCCGGCATGGACGCGCGCACACACACACTGCTCTCACCTGGGGATGTGCCTGCAGAGCTCCTGCTGACCGCCTGGAGCTCAGACATCTGAATACTAGAGGACGCTGAAGCCGATTTCAGCCTGTGCTGGTGTGTGTGTGTGTGTGTGTGTGTGTGTGTGTGTGTGTGTTTACCCCAATGATGCTTAGGTCCTTTATATAGTCCATG